TGATGAGTAGGTCTGGGAACAAGTTTCCAGACATCATTTCTGGAAAACTGGTTGAGTTCTTCTTGCATTGCATTGATCCAATCAGAATCAGCTAGAGCTTCTTCAATATTCTTTGGTTCTACTTGTGAGATGAAACAAGCAAGCATAGCTTCTAGATTCTGTTGGGCACTCCTTGTGCGAACACCAGATTGAATATCTCCGATGATCTGTTGAGGAGGATGATTCCTTAACCAACGAAGATTGTGTTGATTGGGATTGACTGGTTGATCTAGTTCAGCTTCTGGTTGAAGAACAGAAGTTGTTGGTGTTTCCGGATGGATTGGCACTGGGTCGCCATTTCCGGAATTATCGCCATTTGAGAGATCCGGAATATTTGAAGGCTGGCCAAAATTTCCGGAGGGCTCAGCACTGTCTGAATCCGGATTTCTCTGGAAAATCTTCAGAGGCAGACTTCTGAATGGAATGAATTCCGTGGGCTTCATTCTATCTCCTTTATTGACTTCTTCATCCTTGTCTGATAGATCCAGAACTTCATGATCATGCTTTGATGGCTTGTCATCCACATGTTTTTCGTCAAAAATAACATGTATTGACTCTTCCGTGATCATGGTTCTTTTGTTGAAGACTCTGAATGCCTTGCTCATCATAGAGTATCCAAGGAAGATGGCTTCATCTGATTTTTCATCAAAAGTGTTCAGATGATTTTTCCCGTTGTTTAACACAAAGCACTTGCTCCCAAAAATATGGAAATATGATATATTAGGCTTTCTCCCGTTCCACAGTTCATAGGGAGTTTTGTTGTGCCTTTTATAAAACATACTCCTATTTTGAGTGTAGCAGGCTGTGTTAACTGCTTCAGCCTAGAACCTCTTTGGTAAGGAAGCTTCTGCTAGCATGGTTCTCACTGCTTCCTTCAGGGTTCTGTTCCTTCTTTCAGCTACACCATTCTGTTGAGGTGTCCTTGCTGCAGATGTCTGATGAAGAATTCCGTTTTCTTCACAGTAGTGAATGATGATTTCATTCAGGAATTCTGTGCCTTTGTCAGATCTGATCTTCTGAATGGTCTGACTTGCTTGGTTTTGAATCAGCTTCATGCAGTTGGTGAGTTTCCCTTGAGTCTCCTTCTTGC